TTGCACAATTGGTGGCTGACTAAATACTTTTTTGACCCACTGTACATGCAAAAGACCTGGACTTGCATCGTGATGGTGCAATGCTCCTTTTCTCTTTTGTCACCCCTTCTGCCTCCCCGCTATAGAGAGCCAAATCATTTGGGGACTTCAGCATTTTCCTTAGTTGTTGCTCCTAGTTTCTTCATAGTTGGTGATCGATATTCACCTTTCTTGCTTTCCAACATAGTCGTAGTTAGACTTGTGAGTGATTGGCCCTCCTGTTTCTTCTCCTCCATAACAAGTATTACAAAAGCATGAATGCAGTAGCCAGTCCTTACGCTCACCCCTCTCTCTTCTTTTCCCGGTGTGGCCCTCTCAGTCCTTCCAGCCCTTTTTGAAGTCCAGCTGGAGAACCAGGAAGTCAGTGAAGGGGAGACAATCACTCTTGCCACAGTGCTCACTAAACCCAACGTGCCTGTCCAGTGGACAAAAGACTCTACCAAACTGCGGCCAAGTCACAAGTATGAGATGAGGCAAAAGGCATCCTCTGCTGAGTTGGTCATCCATGATGCCCAGCTGGAAGATTCCGGCAATTATACCTGTGACACTGGGGATCAGCAAACCACAGCATCTGTGCTTGTCAAAGGTCAGTGGGGGAGTCAATTTTGCTCAACCTGGCTTTGTGAGAAAAATAATTATCAGTTACGTATCACCCAGTCCGAGAAGGTGTGTTACACCAGGAACTGTGGGATTCTAGACTTCAATCCAGGAGCTCATCCTCGCAGCCCCCTAATCGTGCTATGAGTATGGCTCCATAACCTTTTTTTAACCCCCATATACTCATTGCATTTTATTTACTTACCTAGATTTTTTTAAAAAAATGCCTGGCTCCTTACGACTCTGGGTGATGTACATAACAAAACAAACAAACAAACAAACCCCAGAAGAATTAAAGCTGGACCCATAAAACATGTCCCATCACAGAGCTGGAGCAGGTTCATGTCCTTCTTAGCTGATCCAGTTTTACAGTGGTATTTTCCCTCTTGTCGCAACGTAACATTGGCCTTGGGTGCAAAGTGTCCTGTTTTACTGACTGTTTGGCTGCTGATATGGTCAGGGATGGAAATGGCCTATTTCCTATTGGTTGCTTCAGGCATACTGTACCTCCCACCCTTCAGTCCCTGGGCACTGTCCTCCATTGGCCATTTCTCAAGTGCTTGCCTCTTCTTACAGGGGCTTCGTAAAAACATGGGTTTACCACTCTTTTGAAATAACACTATGGAAGTTTTTTAAACATGAGTATAGCACTAAAGAGTACTAAACCTGTTTTTAGAAAACAGGATTGCCTCTCATTCTAGTTCTGTACTGTGCAGAAAATAAATTTCCTTGTATGCTCCCATCCCATCCAAGGGCTAACAAAGTCTGACCCTTTTTATCTTTTCCAAGATCAGCCAAGGCCAGTTAAATGCTGCCCCAGTTGTGGAAGTATACTACCCCAAAAGTTGCCTGAAGGCCCATACAATTTTATTTTCATTTTACTTCATCCTGTATGAATACATTGTTCTTTTCTGTTTGTTGAGATGTGCCAGAAAATGGGGGGAAACCCCTCATTATTTTAGATGAGTCTCAACATTAAAAGCCCCAAATCAGAGGCGCTACCAGAGTCAATCCGGGTCAAAACAACTTCCTAGAAGAAGAGAGACACGCTCTTATTTCCATGGAGCTGCCAAGAAAATTTGGACGGAAGTGTCCAGGGAGTCATCAGAAACAGAATTTGACTTGAAAGAGACTTTATATGACTTCCAAGCCCAGTTTAGGTAGCAGCACTTAGCTGATTTTGACTGATCTTGCAAAAAGCTAAACAGGGATGGTTATTACTTGGATGGGAGACCACAAGGAAATCAAAATTCCATAAGGCTAGGCTGGAAAATAGAACAAAATCCCAAAGAAAGCAACAACAAACCACTTCCATATCATTGCTAGGAAAACTACATGGGTGTGTCCATAAAGTCATCAAGAGCTGAGTTCAACTTTACAAAGACTGCATCTTGATGTACATTAGGAGATGGTCCTACCCGAGTAGCTATTTTGGCCCCAGCACCGCAGAAGGAAATGCTTGCACACATTTTCATGCAGTTCAAGCTGGATTTGCTGGAATCTTTACTTTTAAATGTTTATCAACTGATCAAGCTGAAGTGAACCTCAAGGGTAGGGGGTAGATCTCACCTGCAGTCATACCAGAATGTTTATTCAGTATATATTTATTTTCTCTCCTCTTTGATTTCTCTCATTTCAGCTTTGCCAGTACTTTTCATCAAGCTGCTTGAAAATCAGGAGGCGGAAGAGGGCAACACTGTCACCTTGAGCTGTGAAACCTCTAGAAGGGATGCCACTGTGCAGTGGAAAAAGCAAGGATCACTGCTACATTCTGGAGACAAGTACAAATTGAAGCAAGTGGGTGCTGTGGCAGAACTGACTATTTGCAAGCTAAATTCTGAAGATGCTGGGGACTACACCTGTGAAACCGTGGACCACAAGACCACTGCTTCTCTGCTGGTGAAAGGCGAGACTTGGGGTTGTCTCTTGGGGGAGACTGGCACCTTGGGGGAGACTGGGATGTTTTTTCAAGTTCTCAGCCTATCCTACAGCCCTTGCAATCTCTAGAAGTCTCTCATCTAAGTCTCACCAGATCTGACCCTGTAGAGCCTTCAAGTCCAGACAAAGTTAACCAGTGTCATTGCCTGCTACAATTCCAAAAGTTTACTACTCTTTGCAAAGGGAAGAAGGTACCCAGGAATTGGCTCTTAAGCCAGGCAGGGTTTCTGCATGCTGGCTTTGCAGTTCTCCCTGATAGCTGGAGAAACTGGGGTTTTCTGATGGGTTTGCTTCACTGTGATGGAGTTCTTCAGCTAAATTTGCTTATGTGTTTTGAGCAGGAGCCTGAAAGGTTTTCTTCTCCGTCTTTCTGTTATAGATTCCTCCAAGAAAAGTCATCTGCACTCAGGGGTATCTTTGTGTGTGGGGTGCATGTGTGTGTGCATATGTGAAAAAGCATCAAGGTGGTAGCTGTGACTGCACAATTGAAACCCCATCTTTTTTTTACACGAGTAAAGAAGAACAGTCCTACATTACACAGTCATGGCTGCCACCTTTTGAGCCCCCTGCAGACATCCCTGTCTCCACTGCTAGAAAGACTTCACCCTTTCTGCAGATTTTTATTTAACGGAATAGTTTCTTTGAGCCAAGAATGTGAATTCTTTAAGCCAAATTAATCATCATCGGGCAAACTGATAATTCACAGGTTTCCTTTGCAACAGATGAATATTGGCCAGAATTAATAGCTGCTGTTATAGTGAAAGACTTGGAGAGTAAATGGGTGTTTGGATAAACCAAGTAGTGGGATGTAAATTCACAAATAAATACAAGAAATAAAAAGTTTTCTCTTTCAATTGCAGAAGCACCGGCCACCATAGAAGAAGCATTGAAAGATCTCACCCTTCCTGAAGGAAAGGATGCTGTGTTTCACTGTGTAGTTTCTCGGGAGAAAGCAAAAGATGTGCAGTGGAGTTTGGCAGGTGTGCCTCTCCAATCCAATGAAATGAACGATATTGGAGTTCAAGGGAAATCTCACACTCTCGTTCTCCGAAAAGTCACCCTTGAAGACTCTGGCACCATCAGTTTCCAAGTTGGTCAGAATTCAACTGAGGCTCAATTGTTGGTGCAAGGTAAGTCAGTCAACCCTTTCGGAATGGACCTTGATCTTCCACAGGAACATCCATGGGAGGGCAGGGGTCAAAAAAATCAAGATGGGGTTTGCAACCACAAGATTGAAGATCTGCCCCTTTTTTACATATATCACTGGTCTTCAATCATGCAGTCACAGCTACCATCTTGACTTTTTTAACACCTCTCCCCAGATGCTCTTCCATGTTAAAAAGCAACGTCCTGCGTTTGCATTTTAAAAAGCAACTTCATCTAAATGTGCCTTTTTTGTGAACTGATCCTCTGGAGAGCAAATTTTGTTTCTGAGCATACAAGTTATTTCACTGAGACTTCAAGTGATTTTGGCTCTTCTCCAAATATTCTGTGTTCTACAAACCTCTAATAATTCATTCAAAAGAATTCATATTTATTAAGAAAACAAAATAATCTGTCCAGATCACTAACCTTATTCTATGTATGTGATTTGGGAGTGCTTTAAAGAATGGGTACATCCATGAAATCAACAGAAGTCAAGTTTGACTCAAAAGAGAATTATTTTTTAACAGTGCTCTATCTGCTCAACAGAAGTCTCTTTTCCCTCTCTGTAGCTGCACCAATAATTTTCCTAAAAGAGCTGGAGAATGTAGAAGTAGCTGAAGATGGCATGGCAACCTTCCACTGTGAGCTTTCCAAACCTGGTATCCCAGTGGAGTGGAGAAAGGGATCATCCATAATCCAGCCCAGCCAGAAGTTTGAAGTCAAGGTAGAAGGCATTGTCTACATTTTGATCATCCATGATGTAATCCCTGAAGACTCAGGAGAATATAGCTGTAGTGCAGCTGACAAGAAAACCACCGCCAGGCTTAAAGTTAAAGGTGAGTGCTTATTGAAGGTACAGTAACAATTGGAGAACTGTTGGGAGAAATCTTCATCTCATCTCCTGCCACACTTATTCTAGATTCTCTCTCTCTCTTCATTTGTCCATATGACTTTCAGAGACTTTCTAGATTAGCTTTCTCCATTTTTTCTAATGTTTTACAATTTTGTTTAATATTTCAAGGTTTAAGCTAATATCTTGCTTGATGATATCTATCCAGCGTGTTTTTGCTTGGCCTTGATTTCTAGCTCCTCCAACCATTCTTGACTTTTTAAAAATTATATATTTTGTCTTTAAAAGAATATATAATATAATAGAAATATAGGATAATAGTTGCATTATAGGATATAATACTATAATATTCTATAATATTACATAATGCTTATTTATTTCTTTTATTCAATTTGTACATCACTTGACTCTCAACAAATCTATAATGTTATATAAATCCTATAGAATATTGGATAATACAAAAACAAGTACAAATTTAAAAGAAATGAGAGAATAGATAATACCAATGAAGAACCAAATACAGTGGTACCTCGGGTTACGAATGCCTCTGTTAACGAATTTTTCGGGTTATGACCAGCTCCGGCCCCAAAAATTTGCCTCGGGTTGCGACCAATTCGAGATGCGATCAGAGTCATGGAACGGATTAAGTTCGTAACCCGAGGTACCACTGAATAGGTAATGAAATATGGGTGGATAGCCAACAAATCTGAAATATCATATAACTAATATATTCTAATATATTGTTAAAAGCTTATAATACTATAAGGGATTTGATGCCCACTTTCTAATAATAAGATGACCCTACAGGTAGTCCTTGCTTAGCACCTGCCTTGTACAGCAACCATTTGCAGTTACAACAGTGATGAAAAAGTAACTTTGTGTGATGGAATGGAATTATGAAGGCCAGAATCAGGGAGGAAAACATGCTCTTTTGTCTCCTGAGGAGCGAGGGAGAGATAAGAGGATGAGGCTGGCACCTCCCTGAGGAATTCACTATGTTGTGACTAGCGTTACTTGGGAACTAGGGTTTCAGTCTGGGAAGATTCTTGCTAGAGGTTGTAGCTAATAACATTGCTGGACTGATTTTACATGGTCTCCTGGAGTTCCTTGGGTTAAGCCTGACACTTTGCGACCAATCCTCGCATTTATGACCTTCGCAGGTCTGTAAAACAAAGGAAGCTGAAGTAAGATCATAAGCACAGTCACAGTTTCATTTAGTGACCACTTTGCTTAAAGACCAAGTTGCTGGTCCCAATTGTGGGCCTTAAACAAGGAATACCTGTATTAAACTTTATAGGTAGTTGGTTAACACAATTCAGATCATTAAAAAAAAGAGAGAGAGGAACTATAGGTGAAAGAAAATATAAGTGATTAAGACAATACTGTAGATCAGTGTTTCTCAACCTTGGTGGCTTTAAAATGTGTAGACATCAGCCCCCAGAATTCCCCAGCCATATGCCAAGTTGAGCAACACTGCTGTAGGTTATATGTCAAGTTAAAATATAACTCTAAAACTCGAATTTTGGGGCTGGCACATCTCCATGTATAAAATTTTAATTTAAAAATGGTTCCCAATTAAAAAGCCTGCATTGGTATTACTATTTAAATACAAATTTATTTTAGACATCAAAGCATGCTTCTACAACTTAATTAGCCATTCTTCCAAAGAAGGGAAACAAGAATCTTTTCCAATACATCTAGAATCCTTGCAGCTGTTAACATATACAACACAATAAAAAAGTATATTTTGAAGGAATAGAAGTGAAATTTAATAAAAATATCTCAGGATGGAATGCATAATTGATTTTTCTAAGGAAATTTATGATATGACCAAAATAAGGCAGCCTCGAGCATCTTAGCTTCCACTGATGTTCCTGACTTGACATGATTTAAAATCCCCTCATCATTTTTGCTGTCCAAGATATGTGCAGTACCTATCTCCAAACCCATAATTCAAAGGAGTCCAGTTTTCTTCTATCTCCCCTTTTTATTGTCCAAACTTTCACAAGTATAGGTAGTCATAGGAAAAACAATAACTTGGAGTATTCTGCATTTAGTAAGAATAAGATGGTGGGCTATAACTGTCCTTTCATCAACAAGGTCCCTTTTAGCACATGCCTCATCTTTCAGCTCTCCCTGTGCTCTTCAGACGGGATCTGCAAAACAAGGAGGTTGAAGTAGGAAACACGGCGTCTTTGTGCTGCGAGTTGTCCAAGCCCATGGCTCCTGTGGTGTGGAAGAAAGGGAGCGTGAAGCTTCAGTCTAGTGAGAAATATGAGATCAGACAAGAAGGGAACTTTGTGGAGCTTCTCATTTATGACCTGGAAGTTCAGGATGAGGGGGACTATACCTGTGATTCAGGAGACCAGCAGACAACAGCTACAGTGAAGGTCAAAGGTAGGGAAAGCTGGGCGAGTTCCAGTGTCGTCTTTATGCTTTTCCTTGGGATGGGCAAAGTATTTCATTTAATGACTCCCCCACCCCAAGCGCAGCTCCATTTGCAGTTATAGTTCAAGGCCTGCAAAGGGCGCTGGGTGCATCCCAACACTGTTTCATTTCTGCCTGGTAGTGTTGCCTGTACTCTTTGAAGAAGAGTTGCAAAACGTGGAGTCAGAAACTGGGGGGAAGGCTGTCTTGCGTGGCAAGATCTCGAGTCCTGATGCTCCTATTGAGTGGCGGAAAGGGTCCCACGTTCTGCAGCCCAGCACCAAGTATGAGATGAAGCAGAGAGGCACCACGGTTGAGCTGATCATCCATGATGTGGAACCTGAGGATTGCGGTTCCTACACTTGCAGTACTGGGGATGAGCTGTCCACAGGATCCGTTTATGTACAAGGTGCGTTCCTTACTCTTCTTTCATCTGTATTTTGTAAACCCTGCAGCCAAATGATTTGACATTGTCAACCTCACGGGGTGGAATCATCAATCTCTGGATGGCTTGGTCCTCATGCATCTTAAATAGAGCTGCCATTTCTGGACTGCAATGCTCAGCCAGCCGTAAGATTACATCAGAGCATTAAAGTTTTCTGTATGTTTTTGGTGCCATCTAGCAGTTCCCCTTTAGATAACCTGAGTTGCAGCCCAGATGTGGTACTTTTACTTTAAGGCAACCTCACCATCTCTAAAGCAGCAGCTTTCAAATACATAACAGCATTGGTGGAATGCAGAAGATGTCGACCATACAAATTTACAGTCTGGAAACCAGTTTTCTGTGGTGCACAAGAGATTAAGGACAACCCAGCTGGGTGGGCATGCTGCTCATTGGAATGGTATAGCATCTGGTTGAAGCTCCTGGACAAGAGCAAGGGAGCAATAGAATTGGAAGGGGGCATTTCATGGAGTCAGAGGATTGGAAGGGGTCTTGGACATCTTCCAGTCTAGCCCCTTGCCCACTGTGGGAATTCTCAGATCATCCGAGAGAAATGTCTATCCAACGTTTGCTTGAAAAGTGATGGAGTCTCGCAACTCTAGGAGACAGGCTGTTCCACTGCTACATAGCCCTCACGACCAGGGAATTCCTCCTTATTTTCAAGTTTGGATCTCTGTCTCTGTAAAGCTTCCACCCACTGGTTCTTGGGAGCTCTGGAGAATAAATCCAGTGTCTCTTCCCTGGGACAGCCCTTCAATTAATGAGAAACTGCTATGTCTCCTCTTCATCTTTTCTTCTTTAGGTGAAACATAAACAGTTCCTTTCAGCGTACTTGATAGGATTTAACCTCTAAGCCCCTCACCATCTTTCTCACACTTTTCTTCAATCTGCACATTTAGGCCATTAAGTCCAATTCCCTGCTCCATACAAGAAGATAAATTAAAGTACGGTCAAAAGACAGTTGCCTAGTTTCATATGCCTAATCCTTAAACAACTCATCTGGAGAACACCATGCTGGCTGAAATGCTTTGGGCAAGCTCTTGATTCTCCATAGGGGGAGGGTGTAAAAAGTCATAGCTGTGGAATTGAAGCCCTGCCCCTTTTTAATGCCCTTTAATTAGGGACGTGGCTTTGATCTCATGGTCGTGACTGGCATTTGACATTTTTGACCCCTTGCTTGCAGATGCCCTGTTCACACCTGTATCACCTTTATTTTTCATTAACTGATTTTTCAACCTTTAGCGATTTAACAGTTGAGTGCACAAATTGGCTTAATATTGAGTAACATCAATATTGTTAGTCAACCTCCTTTCTAGAAACGGAGAAACTATGATTGAGAGCATTAAAACCAGGAGGCGCTCCAGAATCTAACCATTTAAGGAGAAAATGATTCACCCGATTCTTTTGCATATTAGGCTTTAATCCTTTCTTCTTTAAGGGCAAGTTATTTTGATACATGAAAATCAAACCCGCACATCTGTTTTATGTATTTTCTTGTTATTATTAAACTGTATATAGCTAGGCTTGGAGGCAAATCAGTCTAATATAGTCACTGGGGAGTTATGTGTGTATGAAAAATAAATGATCATAAACGACCATCCTGTTGTACAGATGATGGCCTTGAATTGGCCGTAATAAAATGTAAGATTCTTAGTGCAGTTTGTCTTCTGCAGTTCTGATGTGAGATTGCTTTTTAAAAAGATTAATGTGTGATCTTGGATGATTTTGAAAAGTTAAGCAGGATCAGAGCTGGTTAACACTTGGGTGGGGAACAACCAAGAAAAGCAGAATGGAAGCCAATTCCATACTGTTGCTGAGAATATTGCATCCATGGATGCGTCCATGAAGTCCACAGGAGTTGAATTTGACTTGTTCAATGGGTGACCAAATGGAATCTCCCATTATCTTGTTGCAACCAACTTTTGCCAAAAGCTTTTAAGGAAGTGATGAGTTGCTGTAGAAAATAAGGAAGATGACCTTGACAGAAATAGGCCAGATCTGTTATCAAAGTGGTAAGGGAAAAACATGGCTTAAGTCTAAAACAAGAAGGCATGCACAAAAGACTCAGGCTGACACCTCCCTAATTAACATGAGTATAAGGTGTGGGGGGTGAGGAGCAGTAAAGCACAGTCAGACTTGCAAGACTCAGTTATTATAATCAATATTAATAAAAGTAATTTTAGCTTTCTTGTGGAATTGATTTCTTGGTTCGTTGCAGCCATGGTGTATCATGCCAACTTCATGCCAGCTTTGTGAAAAATCAGTTCCTAATAATTTCTCTGTGGAAAAAAAAAATGAGTTGGGATATGACTATTCTTGTGGTTTTCATTGTAAGTTTGAAGAGTGTAACCTTGTTTTGTACATCTCTCCTGATGAAATGGTTCATGTTGTCAGATTAGCGGAAACATAAAAAGGTCCATTTTTACACCTCCGTTGGCATGCATTCTCTTGCTCTGTCACACAGAAGAGGAAATGCAGATAATTTCTGGTTTAAAGAACACGGATGTTTTTGCTGGTGAATCAGCTTCTTTTACCTGCAAGCTTTCCCGGTCCGGAATGCAAAATGTACAATGGTGGTTGGACGGCTCCCCTCTTCACAACAGCCCTACAAATGAAATCTCTGTGCAGAATGGGAGAATTCACACTCTGACTTTAAAAGACTTGGGTCCCAATGATTCAGGAACTGTGACCTTCCGGGCAGGCCCTCTCATATCTTCGGCTAAATTATTAATAAAAGGTATTTCAGGCTTTGAATGTCAGGCCACAAACCATGCTGCACTTGCTTCTTGCTTCAGGTGACCCTTAACCAATTTCTGCAAAATAGCTACTGGAAGGCATGCATTAACCACTAGGCACCACATTAAGCACAGTCCTGCACCTTACTCATTGTTCTTGGAGAAGAAGATTTAGTAGCATCTGCTCCTCCCAGTGCTAGATCAGCTGTACTTCATAAATATCTGGCTTTGGGGTGCTCCTAGAATCTTTTGTAGGGCAGCTGAAAAGATTCCAAGAAAATGGTTTTAAGTTCAATGTTGTTTGGTGGTTCTCATGAGCAAAATGAGTCAGAAGTGTAGCAGCAGGCCAAGGTGATGCAACTGGAAGATTTTCAGCGATGCTTAAATACACAGCCAAGTACAGTTACTAATGCAGGTGTAGCATTGTCTATTAGGAAAAAGGTCTTAAACAGGGTTACACCCAAACTTGTCCAGCTTTGCCAATAGTTTTCCATTCTTTACCCCAATTCTCCAGTTTCTGGGGAAATTAATCATCCCATTGCCTGAATTTCACATGCAAATGTCCATCTAGAAGAAGACACTGTCCAACATTTTCAAGGGGATGCAAATATCCCTAGTTTTTGTCACCCCCTTCTGTTCTGTACATAAATGGGCCCAACATTTTATTTTCTCCTATGGAAATTAATCTGATAGAGCTGGGCAGGAATAAGTTATTAGGTCTACATAATCCGTTTCCACATCACAAGATTCTAAATGCTTAAGTGATGATGTGGTTCATGCTTTGTGATGCACTAATTTGTCTTTGGAACCTTTATCAAAATGTCCCCCAAACTGTGCTTCAGTGTAGATAATATAAAACTAGGTTCTTGTGAGCTTCAAGTAAAATCCTTGCTGATTTAAAGTTTAGAGCTGGATATGAATGCAGAGATATCAAATATTTAAAAATTGGCATCCTCCAATGGTTGGAGCTCAGCTCCCTGGGCGTATTGACTGGGGAATTCTATGAGTTGCCCTACGCATCTGAAGGATGCTCCAACTGGAGAAGACTGACCTAGATTTGCCTCAGGGATGGGTATTTCTCTATTTCTGCAGTTGGTATTTTCTCTCTGATACCATCTCACCAGACACTAAAATTTTTCTTTTATTCATCTCAGATTGCTTCCCAAATCTTCTCTTCCAGAACATAACCCAGAATTATGCCCTTAGTTTATAAACATATTGCTAGAAGGATCATCCGACAACAAAGAGAGAGAGACTGAGTGAGCATCCCCCCTGCCCCCCAGCTCCACTAAACATGTGAGTGCTGGTGTTCTTGTTGTGGGGCCATTGTTCCTTTTCTCCTAAACTTGACTGCAAAACACACTGGGGCTTGGATGAGGTTATGTTAACATGTTTGATATAATGAAAGTCAATAGGTTAGTTGTGTACAGATTGCTGAATGCTGGGAAGGCACCAAGAGAGACATTGTTCTAATCTAGGCTTCTCCATCTCTGGCATCCTCCAGATGTGTGGCCTTCAGCTCCCAGAATTCTCTGCAATGTCCATCTTGGCTGAGGAATTCTTGGAGTTGCAGTCCACACACCTAGACAGCTTCAAAGTTAGGAAAAGCTGCTTCTAGCCTATTGGTGACCGATGACCTGCTGCCTCATTAGCTAACCCATGCGCTTATGTCATTTTCATTGCTGACCCAAGCAAGAACTAAAACTCCTTAGCAAACTAAATAGTGCTTCTGGTCACTGCTTTCACGCATCTCACTGAGAGCGCTTACTTTAAAAGAAAGTGTCCATAAATATTCCCCTAAGGCTGCACTAATACCATATTCCTCCTGACGTATCGGTTGACAGATCCAACAATCGAGGTGGTCAGTCCCATGCAGGACATAACTCTTGAGGAAGACGACACAGCAGAATTCATCTGCCAGTATTCTCGGCCAGTACAGGCCATCTGGAAGAAGAATGACCAGCCGTTTGGGGCAGATGGCCAGAGAGTTGTGATTGAGCAGGACTGGAACGTGGCCAAACTGAAAATTAAGCCCGCTCTTCCTGGGGACACTGGGATTTATTCTTGTGAAGCTGGAGGCACCAAAGTAGTGGCCATGCTTGATGTTCAAGGTGAGGTCTACCATGGTGGAAAGAAGATGATCGTGTGAGCACCACTGCAGCTAACAAAGGGGCCAAGCTGGCTTCCTTTTCGGTGACCAACAGCCCCATTTCTGGAGCCAGACCTGAGGAGCTACCAGCTTTTTGCAGATCAAAAAGCACTGGGAGATCTGGTCTTTACAAAGGGGTTGGCTAACACTTTTAGCCAGCTTTGGGGAACAGGAAGACCAACCTTGTGAGAACATATGCCTTCATGCTAGGTTTTTAGGTTCTTACTTGTCACAGAGAAACTATGATGGTCTCTGAGAATTTTGAGGTGATGCAGGTTTTAACTTGTCTGTGTTTTCTAAATATGCTTTGTTGGATTTCCCCAGTCTGCCCTTTATTTTGGGAGTATACCGCTGCATAAAATAAATTCAGACAGAAACAGAGAGCTGGGAAAGTCCTTGGTTGAATCTGTATCTCAGCCATAAGGCCACAAGAGTTTCCTTAGCACATGTCACTGTCAGCAATTCAGCCTTCCTGTGTGCAGTACGGGAACATGAATCCTGGCCTACCTTACAGGGCTGTTGTAAGGATAACAAAGCAATGCATTTTGAGCAGCCTAAAACATTTTATAATTGCTACACATTATCGCAAGCTTTGATTATGGCAGTCTGATATTACTCAGAGCTCAAGCTTTTGAAAGTGTTTTTGATGAAATATTATTTATTACTTGACTTGTCTACTATTCTGAGGTTGTTTAAATTTTTTAATGCTGGTTTTATTTTTACAATTGCTTGTAGTATTTTTTTTTTTAATGCTTGGCTGTTCAGTTGCTTTGAACTCTATGAAAACACAATTGCCCGTTTTTAAATAAAGTCAATTTAAGAAAGACTTTGTGATGACAAGCAGAGGGACCAAATCATGTCTTTTATTATGGACATTAAAAAAGCATATATAATTATACAGGATGTCTCAGGTCATGCTTACAACTTCTTTACCGCCCAAGATCAACTTCTTAAGCTTGAATTTCACTGGCATCATTCACAGAAATGTTTCTATGGCATATGAACAGGATAATAAAAAAGGGGAGTCACCATGGATACTGAAGCAGCGTGTGCAGTATGTTGTCACTTCCTTGTTCCCCCCTGAGGACACCCATAGGGTTCACCTTTACTGTGACTTATTGTCACATACAACTTTGGGGTTTTTTGCCTGATTTGAACACTTATATCTTGCGCTTGATTGAAATCTGGCTTGAGCCAAACAGCAATGTTGCCATTCTTGGCTTCTTCCTTACAATGTTATGATTCTAATCAGCAACATTCCCATGGGGAGGGAGGGTTAAACAATTCAACAAGGAGGCCACAACCATGGAATTAAATCTCTACCCTTTTTAAATGTGTGTCACATTTGACCCTCTCCGCAGAAGCTCCTGAGTCAGATCCTATTCTTATGTAATTAGCAATCTAATGAAAAGTCTCACTCGTTTCCAGAGCTCTTAATCTACATCAAAATGTGGGTTGAAGTTCAGTTAAAGATGGGGATCACTTCTTTTTTGAAGAGAAATCTAAAGCATTGTAAACAACCAATGATTGCAACCTCTCTAAAGCCTTATTATCTCATGCTAACTTAAATATTGTATGATGGGAAAGTCAGCAATTAATGTCTTTTTATTATTTATTTCATTATTATTTTTCTAATAGCCAAGAACACAGTCATTCAGGGCCTGGAGAATGTTGATGCCATGGAAGGAGGAGAAGCTCTATTTGAGTGCTATCTTTCCAAACCAGAATGCTACAATTATAACTGGCTGATCGATGATGTGCCGGCAAAAACTTCTGAAAATGTTGAGATGGTTTATTTTGAAAACGGACTCCGTCATCTTCTTCTTCTGAAGAACCTCAAAGTTCAGGACAGCTGCAGGGTGACTTTCCAGGCTAGTGATGTGGTGACATCAGCTTTCTTGACTGTAAAAGGTGACAACCAATATTTTGTTCCATAAGACAATTAGATATTGTTCCTATCCAATCCCTTGCCCTTTTTCTGAAAGGCCCCAGATCTTGACGTTTCACAAGGATAACATCATTTCTGGCTTACATATGGCACTATTCTTTAAAACTATGGTTTATTTATTTGTTAGTGTTGATATCCTGCCTTTTCTCCAAGGATCAAGGTACTGTACATAAGAATCTCCATGTATGAAATTAACTGCAGTTGGCTTTGATCACACATTGTGCTTAGCCATATATATCAGATTACAAACCACAATGCTAAATAAACTACATGGTTGTTTAGCATTTTGTATTTGTAATTGGGGGCAGTGCTTGGAAAAAGGCTTTGCAATTCAGAATTAACTGCAGTGTAAAACAGTGCCTTCTTGGGCTGCAAAGTTGATGTCAAAAGCCTTTTTAAGTCATAGAACAGTTTTTACAGTATATTGATGTGACTTCTCTCTGAAACTGAAGTAGGACTTGTGTTGGGAAGATCTCAGCCTACAGACTTCTCCTGTCAGACCTATCTTTAAGTGATAGTCTACATGCACTACAGCAGCTTCTACAAAATGAAGAATAATTACATAATCTTATTTCTGGAACATACTTTCAATGGGCTCTTCTACTGTATCAGAGTATTTGTATATGTATATGTATACACACAACACACACATATAAATTTGGCTGTTTTTTGTAGTGTCATTTATTCTTAGGCCAGAGTTGAATTTTCTGGGCCCAGAAGTTGAGTTCTTGTTGTGTATCATTCCACACCTCTGTCGAAACAGGATAGTGGAATCTTTGTATCTTTGTAAATAGCTTGTTTTGAAAACTAATTCCTGAGCAGTTTAGAGCCTCTAGTCATGAGTATAATTTGGTGTTTTTCCTTTCATCCACTTTCTATTTTTTATTTTTTTCTATAATCTTTTTTTTTAAAAAAATAGACAAGTAAAAGAAAAAAAGAAAAGAAAAAATACAAAGATATAATATCAGTAGGTGGACGAAAAGATTGCAAAAGTTGTACAGTTGGTGCTTACTGTAGTACATTGTTGATGATTAACCATAAAAAGCAGAATATACTGAATTATTTTTAACCAAAAGAAAAAGGATTTTAAAGGTCTTTTTGAATCTCTGAGGTGAATGCCAATATCCCCACTATTTTATTACTTAAGGATAAATCACCTAACAGAAAAGAAAAAGAAAAAAGAGAAAAATCTACTGACTATTACATTACATTACATAATATTTACTTAGTACATTACTAAGTAAATATTTAGTTTCTAACTTGCCCTTTGTAGACAATATTTTTAAACATTTAAAATTTTCATGTATTTCCACTTTTTTATCAGCCTACTGTACCATTCCTCAAAGTTTCTCAACGTGTCAATGTCTTTTCTTCCTTGCTTTGAAAGGATTGATGATTTTATCTTTCAGGATGGCGGTTGGAATTTTTGCAGCCACTGACAGATGTCACAGTCCCCGTTGGGGAGCAAGCTGTCTTCAGCTGTGTGTTAAGTGAAGCTGTACCTATCCATGAGATTGCTTGGTATATTAATGACATAGATATCCAACCAGATGAAAATTGGGGAATTGAAGTAGAAGGAAATACATACAAACTCATACTGAAGAAAGCTGAGCTCTGCCACTGTGGAGAGATAACATTTGCTGCCAGAGATGCTATTGTATCTGCCAAACTAACAGTCCTAGGTAAGTTGGAACAGGCTAAAATTTTGAGGATACTAGTTTTGATTCATAGGTGTCCAAATGGAGGACAACAATCACAACAAGATGTCATTGCACAAATGATGCAACTTATATACTTGCATTGTTTTGCATCAGGATGAGACTGATGCAAAACAATCACTTCTGGAGGAAGAAATGGTGGACTGAAGACGGCTCTGTGAAAAGCGGAGCCGACGACCACAGCAAAGAACAAAGAGCAGGTGAGTAGACCAGCTCTTCAGAATCTCTCTGGACAAGGAAGACAGGAGATCACCCACATGCACTCGGAACAGTTGCTCCTTGTGAGGAGACTGCAAGACAGCAGTCCCTGGTAGGTTTTGAGCACTGGGAGATGATAAGAATAGCTATCTTGCTCGCAACCATGGTCAGCGCCTTTTAAAGGACACTAAGTTCGCAAACTTCCTTTTCTAATCATGTTCAGAAATTGCTTGTTAACTACTTTTAAGCTATTAGAAACCTTTGGATTGACAAGTCTGAAAACGCTGGGTGAATTTTCCTTCAATCCTTAATGAAAGAAAATTTTAATCATAAGCTTAAGAATTTTAAAAAATTGAAATAAACAGTAAAAAGCTAAATAAGACTTTGATCTTAGAAAGTTATAAATGGATTAAGGGTCCATATAAATTTA